TCCACCACCTCAGAGCGTGCACGTGTTAGGAAAGACTATTAAACCTTGCTATTTAAAGACAATACGCTCAACGCTCATGAGAATTAAAATACACTGGGGAAAAGGAGTATTTAATTAAGCTTTAAGGCTGAATTTAATATCTTACTGATATTAGTATAAGAAAAAAATAGATTGTTTTTAAACAGGGATGAACACATACCTGCTTTGGGGTTTCCAGGATGTTTGTCAGGATGACATTCAAGGGCTTTAATCTTAAATTCTGCAAGAATTTGTTCAACCTAAACAGAATATCAAGATTTAAAGCGAGTAAATACACATACACAGAGAACATTTTCAAATCTGCTTTTGGAAATGGGTTGGGAGAAACAACAAAGAATGCTGAAAGATTTTTTCCTGTTCATTTTTACAAGCTTTGCAACACGCAAAAGAGGTAACCACAGCCAGCTGTCGGGGACACTGCTTATCTGATCTCACTTTCCACCACTCATCCTTATTCTTGTGGTTTGTGAAGCTCAGTCATCCCACATGGCAAGTTGGCTTTAAGGAGAATGTGTAGATCATGTCTGCAAACCCCCTTCCTCACATCTGACCACGGGGGCAAGAAATGCATCACTCCAGTTGCTCTCACTTTGTTTAATCGACCAGCTTTCAATGACGTCTCACTGCAGGAAGCAAAGACCTTCTGTACTGTACAGCATCAACTCATGGGATTGGTTGCCCTTCTCCTTATCCTCTCCATAGGAAATTCAGCAAGTACCACACAGCTTTTCCATCTTGCTTAGCACAGAGCTAGGTAACTAGCAGTTCACATTCTTCCTGTCAAGTTAATTTGCTGTGCAAAAAAGGTTGGCTTGGAATAGAATAAATTTATAATCAATATTAGCATATTGGCCTGTATTAGTTTGTTTAATTACAAGTTCCCACACAGCTTAGATATCCTCAAGTATTACAATCACTGGAAAAACATATTAACAACATACAAGAAACCACTGGCATGGGCATCAGCTTAGATTTTCCAAATTTTCAGATTTGTCAAAGTATCTTGCCTCTTATTATAACTCAGAGCCCAAAACTGCTTTGTATCTTTCCAGCACAGCTGAAGATACATGCCCTAAGTTAGCTACTATTCTTTCCCACCCTGGAAAGGCTGTTCATATAAATTCCTCATCCTTCAAACCCTGATATCCATATACAATTTAAATTATTAATTTCAAAATTAAGGCTCATGACCTTCTTTCTTTGGAATAAAATTACAGTTCACTCAACTAGCTGGCCAAATTGTGTTGTCATATGCTAGAAAAAAATGTGGTCTACAGTGGTATTTTAATAATTCTGCACTTTTCACTCTTCAGTAGCTTCCTTCCAGAGGGACAGATGAAAGGTGACATATTACCAGTCAGTAAAACACTTAAAAATATAGACATTGCACAGAGAACTCGTTGAAACTGGTTATTATACAGCGAGCCACCATCTCAAAAACTTGTGTTATATGAAGGGGGCTGTTAAAATAGGTACAGTAGCAGAGGGGGAGCGTGGAAGTCTAGAGTCTAAAAAAAAAATTAGTAGGAGGAAAAGTTTCTAGGAAGTTTATATAGAATACATGAAACGTATATAAAATATTGAGGGATATGTTTTGCCAAGAAAGGTGTCCAATAGCCACTACACATGGATAACGCTACTCTTCCTGGAAGAAATGTATAGATGAAATCTCCCCTCTTCCTCCCAAGGAAGAACTAGGCGTCCATGAGCTCAATGCCACAAGAAGCCAAGACCCAACATGGGTGTTTCCTTGAAAACAGGGAGAATCTGTAGAAATGGAGCCTATTTGTGCTTCAATTTAACCAGGTCAGATCCAGACCAGACCACCGGGCACCGGCGATGCCAGTACTGCGGCTGGGAACGCGAAATCTCCCCTCTTCCTCCCAAGGAAGAACTAGGCGTCCATGAGCTCAATGCCACAAGAAGCCAAGACCCAACATGGGTGTTTCCTTGAAAACAGGGAGAATCTGTAGAAATGGAGCCTATTTGTGCTTCAATTTAACCAGGTCAGATCCAGACCAGACCACCGGGCACCGGCGATGCCAGTACTGCGGCTGGGAACGCGCTGCGCGTGCCCCAAGAAGCCTGCGCTGCTGCAGACGCTTGACTGCACACAGAGAGTAACGTGCTTGCAACAGACCCGTAAGGCTTTAATTTCTGTTGGATGGTAGTGGTGTGCACCGTCCGGGGGGCGGCAACCACGGTGCTCCGTCAGCTTGCGATCTCCGATCCCGCTCCCGGCTCAAAACCAACGTAGTAACATCTGCTGCTTCTCTCTATGCCTGATACGTGGCAGATCGTTTTCCAGGACCCATTAGCATTTATTCCATCTTTTTAATTTCATTTTTAAGCAATTTGAAAAATCATTATCATATGGACTTGAACGATTCGTTGATTGCTAAACCCTTAAGGAATTAGCATGAGGTAGAAAATGGGAAATAGCATCTGCGAAACAAGCCCGCACCGAGGCTCGAACACCGCCCTCTCCTGGGATGATTTTTAGGAGTTATCTCAGGCACAGCTTTAAAATGCCGTCTGGAACAGACCGAAGATGCTTACCGCTATGCTAACAGCGACAGAGGAGACCGAGGAACTGACCATCAGGACAGGTGAGAGCCCCCGATTAATTTACTGATCAAAATGCAGCTTTTACCCACACTGCATTACAGAAGAGTAATCAAAACTCCTTTTCCAAAATTAGAACGCAATTCCAGTTCATATAGCAGCTAGATTAAAACAGTATTAGCATACCACTTACACAGACTATCCAAAAAAGGTTACATGGACAGCTTTAGGAAGAGGAACACTTGTTTTAGCTACAAATCACTCAACAATTCCTTAGCTAGGTCTCATTCGAAAGTATGTATCTGCTACCAAAACAAACTAGTGAAACTAGTATCTGAACGTCATTAAAATTAGCATTTAAAAGTCGTCATTAATGCGATGAATGAAAAGGAGGTATTCTTTTTGGTTTTCCTCCCAAGCAGTGAAGACAGCTCTCAAGGCCGTGTATAAAACCCGAGGAGCTCACTGGCACTACCAGCCACCTGCAGCTGCGAACACCCACTGCAGTTAGCCCTTGGCATCTCTTAAAATCGAGACCGTACGCCAAATTATTCATTGGGTGATGCCGAACGCGTGCAGCTGGCTCCCGACTCACAACCGCGGCGCATGTTGGACCCAGCTGAGGAACAAGCCTCAGTAACGTGGCTGTAATGAAATCCTGGCTCATAAGGCACTTTTACGCTAAGCCTTAGCGCGGATACGCGGGTCAGAAAACCGAGCTTAGCGAAGGGAGAGACTAAGAGATGGAAGTGGCAGGAAAGAAGGTTCCCAACGCATTTCCAGCAGCCCTGCCCGTGGGGGTAAGCAGCTTCAGGGCTCCCCACCGACACACAGGCTCATTCCAGCGGTTATTAACCTGGGGAGGAGGCGGGGAAGGCACTTACCGTGGACAGCTCGTCGCATCCGAGCAAGTTGTAGTAATCTTCCAAGTCCTCCGCCCTGCAGTTCAGGATGGCATCCATCCGGGCTGGTCCAGGGGGCTGTTTTAGCCCGAGGCGCGGGGTGTACAAGGCGGGATCAACGCAACGCTCGCCCGAGGGTTCAGAAGGAGCCCGGGCAAACGGGCAATTGCCACTCGGGTCTGCGGCTCCCTCCGGTGCTTTTTAATACCGCCAGCTGGCACACATGAATCGTCTTGAATCCTCTGCCTGCCATTGGTCCCTGCAGAATGCCTATCCGGTTGCACAAACCTGCTCATAGCAAAGCTCCCTGGGATTTGTAGTCGCCAGGGTCACTTCGGCACTAGAGCCTGGCCCTGGTGCAGGCCGAAGCCAGCCCCGCTTGCTGGGTGAGACCCAGCTGTGGTGGAGGTGCTGACCCCGCCAGCGCCTGCAGAGCCGCCAGCAGCCAGGCTTGACGGCTTTCCTCCACCCGGGCCCACCGACACGGACACGTACGTTCTGCTTCGTTTCTAATTGCAGTTTTTGCCAGTCTTCGATGCGGGGGTTACACGGGCAATTATAAAAAAGAGCAAGGATTACTTCCAAGTAACAAGCACAGGGATGCAAACTTTTGGGAATGAAGTACCGAGCTTGCCTCTCCGCATTCTGTCAGCCAGGAAGGGCTGAATCTGTACTCAGTGAAGGCTACGTAGGGTATGTACACGCTACTCTTCAAACAGCTCTTCACCCCAGCTGCATGCCTGACAACATTAAGGCTATGAAAAGACAGGACATACTGTCTACTGTCACATTAAATAGAGACTCATGCTAAATTACTCTCAGATATTGCCTTGAAGGTCTGTATGCTGTGAAAAAACCCTAATTTTACAGTGAAGTGAAGCACTTTCAGTTTCAAACCATGATTAATGTTGGAGGCTGTAGTCCAACACAGACTACAGACGTGTTCAACTGAGCCATCTCCTATGACCTGTTGATTTAAAAAGATGATTTCCTAGGTGTGATGCCAAGCACTGCCTAAGTCCTCCCTCTGGAGCCGAAGGAGCTCTATTTTTACTTTTCCCATCCCTGCAAGCGCTTTGCGATGCAAGATGTTCAACGTCATTAAGTATTACTGATTCTTTAACACTCACAAGTAGATGCCTTGAACAGTGGCACGGTTTTCGATGCAGTGACCCAGCAGGAGAGCCCACGCAGAAGAGAGATGCAGGGTGTGACCCAGGCTAGAACACCTCTGCCTTCACCAGGGGAGGACCCAGTGGCCATTCAGAACGGTTTACAGAACCATTCCTGCCTTTACAAGTGCTTTATTTTATTATCTATATCATGAATGTTCTGAAATTATCTATTAGTCTTCCACTGCTTTCTCTTCAAGGTTGGATTGTCTGAAATCTCCTTTTCTCACTGTATGTTCAGAGAGCTTATGAAGACTATAAAATACGTAAAATACATGAAAAGAAGAAGCAACAATATTAAGCAGCAGAGCACAAGCCTCAGTGAAACCACTGAAATCAGTTAGAAAACACTACTACCTTACTTCTCTGAGTAAATAAAACAATACATACACTTTTTCAGGGAGGTGGAAGAATTAGGAATTATAAATCTCCACCTCTCCCCCAGTCGTAACTTAATCATAAACCAGACAAGTATAGGGAAGAAGCCTTTTAGCAAGAGACCATGTAAATATTTAAATAGATTGTGCTTTGGGGGAGGATAAAAAACAAACAGCCGTCCCTCCTCCCCACAGCAGTCCTGACATAGCGTTCTTGTCCAAGTATCTCTCGCCTATTTGCGCAAGGTGAAAGGGAAGGCTCTTTAACCCCTTTCCCCTCCCACGTTCAGTGCCTGTCTCCGCGCTGCAAGGCGAACCGCAGGTCCAAGGGCCGGATTCAGACAACAAAGCCCTGAGGCTTGCACGCTGCTTCATCGCAGGGAATTTGCTCACTGAAGCCTTGGTCCCATCTGTCCTCGCATGTGTTCACACCAAATAAAGGAGGGCTTTGGTCCAAGCCGCAACAGCGACCACGCCTTCCCCCCACCCAGCAATTTCCAGTGCTTGGGACACGATGGGTCCCCTAGCAGGGTCTGAAGCTTTGCACGGGAAGGACAGGAAATACCGAATAACACGGTGTCCTTTATTGCTCCCGCTGCCTTCAGCGGGCCGACTGACAGGGCGAAGCATCATCAAACGAAGGAGGGCACGAGAACCTGCATGTAACGCGCAGAAAAAACACATAACCATTGCCTTGAGGAGATAAACTGCACTTCTAGGCAGCGCAGGAGATGGCACAGCCGATGTGTCTACACACGTTTGGGTTCGTGCGGCTCAGATGTGCAAACAGTACCGCAAGTGAGGACATCTCATGTTTGTCCCGTGTTCCTGACCACAAACAAAACGTTTCTGTTCATTCCTAACACACGGTCAACAATTTTGCCCTTTCAGAGCCAAGAGGGAAAGTGAATTCTGGCCCGGTGTAACAGGAGGTTTGCCATCAACGTGTACAAGTTGTAAGCGGCCTTTTAAATTAAAAGGCATGATCTGGAAATCTGTTTTCATGTTTTCTCATGAGAAAACTGGTGCTTCCAGCACCAGTTCTGACGGGACTCCCTCACTTTGCCTCCTGAGGACAGGCTACACATGTTGAAGGGGTTCGAGGCGCAACCTAACCCAAGCGTGTTTAGCGTTCCGTGCTCCAGCCTTGTCCCCAGGCAAGCTCAGAGCTGCAGAAGCAGGAGAGGCCCTGAGCGCTACCAACCCGACCTCCCGATTCAGGGCTAACTCCTGCAACACCGTGGCGGCGTGCAAATGCCTGCAGTACTAGAGTCAGCATTAGGAACCTGCGGTCACTTCCTCACCAGCACCTTCGCAGTAAGCTGTATCACACACCTCTATCGCTTACCCATGTCCTTCCCCAGAACACAGTCCGAGACAACAAGGCACCCAAGCTCCCCTCTCCTGCACATGCTGGCAAAAGCATCTTCACCTGCTAAGAAATCCGGTTCCTGCCTCAGCTTTGGTAAGGAAGAATGCTTGCATGCAAATTTGCATGGAACAATAAAAAAGCTGTTCTGATTCACCCCTGGCTACTTCACGGCTTGGTTTTGAGAAGCAGGTGACGTGTGAGAACTAGCACACGCATCCTTTTAGGGGTTGTGAACACCTGAAAGAAATGGGGGGAAAATACGCACCATGTGTTCCCCCTGTGAAGTCAGTTATCGATAAAATAATCCCTCTTGAAGCCAAAAAGCCTGTATCAACAATCTTAACCCAATTAATTTAATTAATTAGTGTTTTTTAAAGCTGATGTCATCAGGGCCTGCGGGGGAGAAATTCTCCCTGTCTGACCTCGGCCTTGCCCTCAACTTCAGGGTTCAGCTGTGTTAAAATCACTACAACCGCCCTGCGGATAGTCTGTGACGTCGAGCAGTAACATTAAACAAGGCAACATGTAGATCTATATCCGTGACGTTTCCATCACAACACCGATGTCGGCGCAAGTCCCAGGAAGGTGGCCCAGCTCTATCCCAGACCAGACTCCCAGGTGGGAAGGCGACAAGAAAGCCCCCGGGCGGTGCGCTGCAGCCCGCCTCCGGTTTGCGCAGCAGGTCCCTGGGAAGCCCCAGGTCCCTGGGAAGCCCCCTGTGCGCACCCCAAGAGGGCACGCGGGTGGGACACGGGGAGTTTGTGAGTGTCACCAGAGCAAATCCCAGCTCCTG